AGGGGTCATATTGTCAGGGTTGTCACGTGCCACGATTTTGCAATTTGTGTATTTTTAAAGCTGTTTTTGTGCAGGTCGATCTTTTGTGTAAAAATAGTACAATGTCGCGACATTGTTGTCGTTTTTTGATAAATTTGTTTTTATAGAATTTTTGGGAGGATAATATTGAGAAAGATGATGTTTTCCTTGTTAGGAATAATGAGCATAATACCGTTATTTATGATATGTTTTTAGAAGAATCATAAATAAACATGTTTCGAGACGGTATGAACATTAAGGATTTAGATATTTATTAAATGAATCGCATTAAGGAATGATTAAGTAGTAGCGACACATATTATATGCCAAGTGACAGCTCACATACGTAGACCATGGGTGAAAAACAAATCAATGGATGACGTCATAAACACATCACATCGTACATGCAAAGTTTACATGCGAATTAAAACGGATAGAAAATTCCAACGAGCAACTGTTGGGCAGAAAGCCCGACCAGGCACGAACACCTCGCCTGGTCGGAGCATCCTCCTTTTCCGATCTTAGGAAATTCTACTCACTGTTCCCTAAAAGGTATTCTCAAAAAGTCATAATAATTATTTACTCAAGTTTTTCTTACTTGTACACCAATCTATCTTAATAAAAGCAATGTAGATTTTTTTAAACACTCATTTCAAACACCGTAATTTAGAGCATAATTTTTACATACAATTTTCCGACACGTGACAACCCTAGCAGTGTACAGCAACGAGCTTCTTGCATGGAGCTCTTCAAACGAGAGCTTTTAGCGAGTCGTTACAACAGGTTAGCCGGCACGAAAGCTCTCGTCTTACACAACTTTATGATTTAGCGATACTAACGTCAAAGCTGACTGCCTCGTTGGCCGAGTGATCGCATGTGCGACCATGGCAAGGGGTATCGGGTTCGATTCCCGGGTCGGGCAAAGTATTACATGGGACTCAAAATATAAATAGTGAAAAGTGGGTGTTACATTGTACAGTGGCATAATCACCTCTTCGGGGTTAAAAGGCGCGATGTTATGTGCGACGACGTCAAAGCTTTGTGCTTTCGAAGCTCAGTTAATGAGATGTGGATTCGAATATTGATTAAATGTATTTGGGAAAAGTTTCGGGATGGTGAGAAATCGAGTATATTTTATTTATCTGTCTGTATTGACTTCATCTACAAAAAAGGTTTTGCCACAATCTTCACGGTTTGGCGATGTTAGTTTAAACGATTCAGTTTTATCAGAGAACGTTTTATTGAGCTCTGGACTGCATTTAACATGGTTCTAGAATATTTAAAAAAATAATCAGCATTAGTATAGCATAGCAGTACTAAGCCTGATAGCGTCGAACTAGAGGACTCTTGATCGGGAGTGACCACTCCACACGTTTGTCCTGTCCTGTTTAATCGTAACATACAAAATCCAATTTGAAATGAGAACACGAGCATTTAAACGCAGAATTTTCATTCTTACGATCGCGACACACGTCCAAACAGCGCGACGGTTGTCAAGCAAATAGCTCGCATTCGAAATTCGAATTGAACGTTTTTTTTTTATTGGATCGCCGCGCCACTGCGGGTGTCGGGTAAACTGGTGCACTCTTCATTTTTCTGAATTGCTAAAGAGGGCTTGGAAGTGGGTTTGGAGCGATACAAGCTTTATTTTATCGTTTTAAATTTAAAATATCGCTTTTATTTTTATTCCACATTTCGAAATATGTTTCATGCTATATTAAAACGAAATAAAGGTAAAATCTACTTTCATTGCAAAAATATAAATCGTTTTTGCAGAAAAAATGATTGTAAGCTTTAAGCTACGTTTGTGAACGTTTTTCGAATAACTGCAAGTCTTTGTCAACCGTATTTGTAACTTTGACAATGAAATATAACGATAGAATTTATAATTTTTTTTATTTTCTCGTATTAAGTTGCAATACTTAGATAAAATGGCGCTAAGTTTAGGAGTGGGACGTTAAGTACGTCATAACGTGCTACAAAATGTGGCACGCTGTGACGTCAAACGATATTTCAAATTAATATATCGTCGAAAGTATTTAATTTTGTGAGAAAAGAAAAAATACGTGTCTAAAGTTTTAAATTAATGTACCAGACGGACATTAAAATAAAATTTAGGAAACTATTGTAAAATTTCATCGAACACAAGCACCACAGGGGACCGGAATCGAATAAAACGATGGGCTATTTCGAACAATGCTGTCAAATGAAGTCCCCGACCTAACAGGAGAGTAGGTTGACTATGAGACTAGTCATAGAGAGATATTCCTGCATAAAGATTGTATGATGTATCCTATATGTAAGCCAGTTGTGAGCCATACTGTAGGCTGAATATCATAATAAAACGTCGTAAAACTTTGCTCGATTTGGGAAAACAATGTCGTGGTGGCCCGAAGGTTTAAGACGCCCGCTTCTCATGCATGAGAGTGCGGGTTCAAAACCTACCAAGGGCAAGTACCAATGTGACTTTTTCCGCGTTGTATGTACTTTCTAAGATTATTCAGACACCACTGACAAACGGTGAAGGAAAACATCGTGAGGAAACCTGGGGCTTAATTTCTAATTATACGTTTGTAATCGCCAACCCGCATTGAGCAAGCGTGGTGATTAATGCTTAAACCTTCTCTGTGTGAGAAGAGGCTTTGCTCAGCAATGGACATTTATAGGCTGTTGATGATGATGATGGGAAAACAAACCAGACTTGTAGTAAGAAAGAAATTCTTGTCTGTTCTTTCGTAAGGTATTTCAGAGTTTCAGGTCAGTATGGTACCTATACCATGTTAAGTTACAGAACCTCACTTTACTCAGATGTGCAAGTTGCAATTTTTTATGGTATAAGTCGGTAAGCGACCAGACGGATCACCTGCTGGTAAGCAATCGGCGTCGCTTATGGACACCCGGAACACCAGAGGCATTACAAGTTTGTTACCGGCCTTTTGGGGATTAGGAATGAGATTTGTTGTGGATTTAGGGGAGGAATTGGGCCTCCTGTAACCTCACTCTCACGACGAAACACAACGCAAGCGTTGTTTCACGCCGGTTTTCTGTGTTAGTTCTAATTGTAACATATGTGGTAGTTTCCAAGCTTATTTTACCGCGCACGTAATACGACCACATTAATTAGCATTTCCACATTGATTAGATTAGTTATCAACTACACAGTACACACGTTTCGCTTGACACTTTCTTTTTTACTAGCATTAAAGGCACAACAATATTATCGTCCCAAAAGAATGGTCACCCGATCCCTATCATACTACCCACCGCTACACGATCGCGGGGCGTTGCAGTCGCCATTTTTTTCATCACAATCCTCGCTCACGGCGGAAAAAGGCGAGTAAGCAAAATTTGCACGGACACCGTCACTTCTGTGTGTCGTCCGCTTTGACGAGCTCCAATTGGATCTGATTGTAATGAGTATTGAGTTAAATGAAATTCTTCGAGTTTAATAAAAACTGGTCTGTATGGTAATTGGAGTATTCAGTTGTGAATGTAGTGTGGGGTTCCAAATGTGGGGTGAAGTTAGCATTAAGGCTGCCTTCTGGGCACAATCCATCGGCAAGAATTACATTACCTAATGGCGAATTATGCAACAAAGTAGAAGACGGACAACATTTGCTAATGGAATGTGCCGGGAACAATAATGAAAGGGAATCATTAATTAGAAAATATAAGTTGAATAAATTAGATGTTGGATTAGTTCAAAATATTTAGCAAATCCTAAAAAGTGAACTGACTGCCTCGTTGGCCGAGTGGTCGCAAGTGCGACTGCTGGGCAAGAGGCCTCGGGTTCGATTCCTGGGTCCGGCAAAGTATTACTGGGTTTTTAAAAAAACTCAGTAGTAGCACGGAGTTTGGATTTGTGCCCGGTTTATGGCAATAGGCTCAACCCCTATTACATGGGACTCGTAATATAAATAGTGAAAAGTGGGTGTTATATTGTACAGTGGCATTAAGTGCCGTAAAGTGCACCTCTGCCTACCCCTTCGGGGATAAAATGCGTGATGTTATGTTATGTTTTGTTTTATATATCTATAAAATAAGAGGGATTTTGACGTTGTAAAATACCATTTCGTTTTACACTACCTTTGAAGGACTGACATAAACACGAGTATACATATTTTTGCAAGACATTCAAAGTCAAAATCATTAATTTCAATTAGACTAGGAAGGTACTTTTGAATGGTAACAAAACATTTAAAATGTGTGAAGCTATTATTGTATTATTGCTGAAGTTTTAACAAATCGATCAGATAAGACCTACATCTTTTAAACTGTCAAACACCAAGCGGTCACCGGTGACCGCAACCTATTGTTCTTTAATTGTGTCTACAAAACCGGTACTCGACGAGTTAAATTAAAAGAACTGTCTGATGAGTTATTCTAATCAAACCTATCCTGAAAAAAAAAATCCCTAGGGTAAAAACACCAAATCTCGTCATCACTTCGTCCTTTGAGTAAAAGCACTTGTTGTAACTTTACACTAGGGTAAACGTTGCGTTCCTGAGAGCTCACTTAAGCGCCCCCTGGCGGATAGAGTTACTGACCGATGGACGATAATTGTGTAGCTACCTTATACGTCTAGACGTGCGTAGGTGAGGTGTGTTTAGGAGTGAGAAAGAGAAATGTCACTTTAGTGAAATTAGGGAGTTATTTAGTTCAGTATGAGAATTTGGTAATTCATTTTTTATTATACCATTATAGATAATAGAATCCCTACATTTCATTCGTCAAAATTCAATTCATAGAATCTAATTTGCACCAAACTAATCATAAAACTACGTTAACGTCTAAGACACTAGTGTCTTATTGAAACCAGCACAGACACCAAACCTCATGACTTTTATACTCTTATTTAGGCAGTTTCAAAAAACATATCAATCCCATATTAAAACAAAGCCACATACAGGTGTCTTTACCCTAATCACGCTAACAAGCTAAACTAAACCTTACACATATAGGAATAAAGTATAAAATCTTACCTTAGCGAACTCGATTTTGAGTGTGCAACATCCGGAATATATGTCACAGCCGTGAAGTGCTTCTTTAGCTCTCGTTGCAGATTCCACACTTTCAAATTTGTAGCCAGGGGTTAAGGAAATTCTTTGAAATATATACACAATAAAATATCACAACAATCATATACACATTTTCAACTCTATTACAAACCGGTATAGTCGAAAGTCAATTAACTCGTCGAGTACCGTCATTATAGACACAATTATAGAACAATAGGTTGCGGTCACCGGTGACCGCTTGGTGTTTGACAGTTGTTTAGAATAACTTAAACTGAAGACTAAGAAAATTAACGGTTTATTTGTGTATTAGCTACTTCCGCGCGGTCTCACACGCTCTGCTCAGCTCCTATTGGTCGTAGCGTGATGTTTTATAGCCTATAGCCATCCTCGATAAATGCGTTATCCAACACAAAAATAATTATTCAAATCAGACTTGCAGTTACGGAGATTTGAACGTTCAAACAAACAAACAAAAAAAACAAACTCTTCCGCTTTATATAATAAGTATAAGATTACCCACAGTCATAATTATCATTAGCCCAAAAAAATTCAATTTGAAGTATAGCTCATAAATTCTTTTATCACAATATTCGTTGCAAAATTTTTCAGCCAAAAATTGCTATTGTAAAGGTGACGGCCGTGTGGCCGAGTGGTCGCAATTGGTAAGGGGTCTCGGGTTCGACACCCGGGTCGGGCAAAGAATTTTTTTTAAGGGGGGAAAATCATCGAATTACTGCTCCCGCCTGGGTGAGGCAGGAGGGAGTGTCAGAATCTTACTGACTAAAAACAACCCCGTTCCGACTCCTGCACTTCGAGCCGGAGCCCCGGTAACCCGTTAGGTTAGGTCCGCGACTCGGGCAAAGTAAAGCTGGGATTTTTTTTACTCCTCAGTAGTAGTAGGTACAAAGTCTGAAATTGTGCCCGGTATATGGCAATACGGTATATGGCTCACCCACTATTACATGGTACTCATAACATAAATAGTGAAAAATGGGTATTACATTGTACAGTGGCATTAAGTGCCGTAATGTGTACCTCAGCCTACCCCTTGGGGATAAAAGGCGTGATGATGGTGAGTACGTAAATATTGGTCACTATTCCAGATTATAAGAAACAAAGGAGACTTTTCAAAGTAAGTCCAAAATACCTTTCATCAAAAGATCGAAACGAAGCTGTTCAAAACTTAACCATTGCAAATAAACAGAAGCCATTATCAAATCCAATCGTCAGCAAAATCTTCATTTCTAAAGCTATTGTAAAACATTCAGACTTCTGCCTATCCCTTTGGATATAAAGTTTGATGATACTCAAATCGGATTACTTCTGTCATAATGTTATTGAACGATTAAGTCGCGGAGACATCGGTATTATTCAAATATCTTCGGGACGGGAGCCATTTTGTGCAATAAAGATAAGGTTGTGTTTTTAGTGATGAGAGGCGGCGGGCGATGATGTATTGGAGAACGACTACTGGCTAATTTAAATAAGCTATCTATCTGTATATTTACTTCTATCTCTAGGCAGTTAAACGCTAACAATTAACAATTTTTCTTTCTCTTAAGTTATAATGATGGTTAAATTTTCCGAGGTTTTCATTCATGTTAAAATCAGCTGGTAGTATGAAAAAATTAAAGATTTAATGGGTGCTTATTCTTGTAAAATTATGATAGAACGGCTGAATGTATTTGGATTAAATACGGCGTATTTTAAGGTTTCTATTACCAATTACCACGCGAAAATTATTAATATAGATTCAGTAATCGATAAATAACTTTACAGATTTTTTAAAATGCTGTCAGCACTTAATATCACACATTAACTGCTGTAACAACTTCAACTTTATAAGGCTATAAGTGCTAAACTGTTAAACCAAGGGCTAACTAAACCAGTTAGTTAATAGATAGCCGTAGCATAGCCGATTTACCTCGTTTGGTAGGAAACTGGATTACTGTGATCTAGTTATATCTAAATACGAATAACCTTTGTTGAGAGTCCTGTCGAGTTTAAGGTGAACTAAAATTTTCTATTTGAAGTTTAAGTATGACATTGTAATATAATTGACGTCTACAGGTGCCACGGAAAGGCGTTTTATTGTCGCTACGTGGAAGCGACTCCTCTGGTGGTGTGGGTGTGGATTGCCAGCGCTGTTAGCTTACCATCTTTTTTTTATATTTGATGCGCCGAAGTTTGACCACTATCTCGCCTGGTGGTAAGTGATGATGCGGTCGTCCCATAAGCAACGTATTCACTCGGGCCTTGAAGACACCCAGGTTATAATACCATTCAGTTAATACAGACTCTGGCAAAGAATTCCACTCCTTAGCAGTATGCACAACCTGGTGAGCCGTCTGCTTGTTTGCCTTCTAACCTATTCCGAAAAAAATTATAAAGGGAAATTCCATTTTAACAGGCAAAATAGCTTCACGACAGCTATTACTTTTTACTACTCAACTATTATTATTTAATAAACCACAAAAAATTACAAAACGAGTTTCATTATTGCACCTCGCTACCCGCTCCGCTTATGATAAAGCCCGCACCTTGGAATCACAGACGTCGCAACTTATATTCCAATTTGGGTGAAAACTTCCAAGTCATTTGAATAAAAGTCCCTTTCGAAAAAATATGGAGAAAGTGTAATTAAACAAAGATTTTATTACTAGTACTACTCCACGGATCCGTTGTTCGAATACGGGATGAGGGTGCATTATTATATTTGCAAAATTCGCTTTCTTATTGAGTCGTTGACATTCTACAGGAATTTTATCTTCTATAGACTATTAATAACTGGGGAAAGTATTACAATTCTTTTGCTATTTATCGTAGTAAAATTATTGACACCAGAAACATTTCTAATTTTCACAAATAATAATATTTTATTACATACTAGCGACCCGCCCCGGCTTCGCACGGGTGCAATATGCATGTATTATACATACAAACCTTCCTTAAGAATCACTCTATCTATTAAAAAAAACCGCATCAAAATCCGTTGCGTAGTTTTAAAGATCTAAGCATACATACGGACATACAGCGAAAGCGACTTTGTTTTATACTATGTATTGACTAGCGGACTAGACTAACACCCCAACTTCGTCTGGGTGGGTGCTATTTTTCTATGTTCTCGATGAATGTATCACATCTATTTTTAATACAAACTTTGTTCTAATGATAACGAACACGACAAAAGAAGAATTGTGCCATTCGATGCAGTCATTCCACAGTTAGTGGCGTACATATATATTGGTGTTCTATTTTTTTTAATATAGATAATATGCATATACCAAAACTTATCAAAACCTACACAGCAATTTCGGTAGAAAACAGTAACAAACAAATAAACTAAGATTCATAAATGAAATATTAAAAATGAAAACTATTTTTTATTACCTACTATTCTTTAAAACACAAGTCGACGCACTGCTGGCCTTGTCGACCGTTTATCACACCGAAGCGTAACATGTCGCATGTTGTAACATATAACATAATCAAAGCGACAAACATGTCGCATGTTGTAACATGTAGCATAACATTCAAATCAACACGTTTTGATGTTAATACAATCATCAATCAAGTTTACAAGTTGTTTATTAAATGGTACACAACGTTTACAATGGTATTGATTTGGAAATACATACGACACACTTTACTAGATTGTTATCGTGTTCATGTGAAAGTGTACTAAGTAGTTTCTTGTTAATATGAATAAATTTGATTTAGATTTGATCATGTAGTTTAGCTCAAGATTACGAGTTTTTTTTAATGTTACTTAATAATTCTCCACGGACTCTTGATTCAAAGTCATTTATTTCAATTAGACCAGAAACGCACTTTTGAACGCAACAAAAAATTAAAAGTGAAGCTATTTGCTTATTCCAAGGTGTAGACTATGGACAAGAACGAGCAAGAAACTCCATAGGAAACTCTTTTTCAATCAGGTTTACAATACAATTCTCTAGTTACATAGTTTTGTGCCCTTGTCAAACATTTAAGATAACGAGTTCGATCCTTGATTTAGGTAAAACTTTACAGTAATAAGAAATCAGAAATTAACTTGATTCTAGAAGATCGTTCTATTTTTTATATAGGTACTGACAAAAAGCGAGTCTAATTAACAGAGGGGCTGTAACATATAAGAAAACATAACATTTCACCTTTAATTTTCGAAGGGATAGCAGTGCGCATAATTACACAATGTAACATCCACTTGTCACCAATTATAGTACTAACAATACAATCCAATTTAATTAATCACCGCTTTACAATTTTACCAGCCTCTATCCTATACAATCAAATCGAATTATTTGTTTAATCTTAATACAGGTTCGCGTCCTACACTGCGGTGTAACAGACACCCGTCACAACGCCACGTGTTACCAATAATTCAAACGCAAATATTTTCCGCACGCTTACAATTCGAACTGTAAATCATATGGATTCGTTCGTCCGTTTATTTATACTATTGAAAATTCCGGACGCCATATTAAAGAGACGCCTGTCGAAATACGTTTTTGTTTAAATAAACTTATCGAATTTCGAATATATTTTAAAGTCTGTATTGTTTTTCTTTTATTTCTTAGTATTTAACGTTATAACATAACATCACGTATTTTATCCCCGAAGGAGTAGGCTGAGGTGCATATTACGGCATTTATTGCCACTGAACAATGTAACACCCATTTTTTACTATTTATGTTATGAGTCCCATGTAACAGGGGGTGAGTCCATTGCCATATAAAGGGTACAATTCCAGACTCAGTGCTACTACTGAGTCCGACCCGGGAATCGAACCCAAGGTCCCTTGACCAGCATTCGCACTTGCGACCATTCGGCAGTATTTAATGTAATATACAGTAAAACTTTTGTTTGTGGTGAACTTTTCTAAGTACAATAAGACTGCCAGGGAAGACAATATGACAATCTCCTCCTAGATAAGGAAAGCCTGTAGGCTTCCATCAGTTGTGATTATTCATCTGCTCTCTATGCTGGTTTATTTTTATAATTCACTCATCCTACGCTAATACATAGGCACTTATGTGCATTACCTTTTGATGAATAGTCTACCAATTGATCGACAACACGGTTAGTGCGGCGACTGGGCAACCGGCTGCCACGCAAGATGTCGCGGGTCTGGGTGTCACGTGTATGTGAACTTGTATGTTTGTAAACGCACCCACGATACAGAAGAAAATCCCAGTGTGGGAAAGGTTTCTTAAAAAAAAAACAAATAAAATACTGAAAGCCCTTAAAATTACCATACCTAATATTCAACGCCAACAAACATACTTACATATTAATCTACTTTACATTATTACCATTAATTAAATGGCGCAAAAATTCACAAATAAATACGTCCATTTAGTTTAGAGACAGCTCTTTGAAACTGTATTCATATCAAAGGCATTTCATAACAGAGAGCAACTCACGCGCATCATAGAGAATTTTCACATAAAAGTCATTTGTAATGCCAACATTAGTCATAGTTGTTATAAATAATATTGTACGACCTTTGCTTTCAACATACATATATTTATTTTATACTAGCTTTTGCCCGCGACTTCGTACGCGCAATCCAGTTTCTCCCATTTCCGTAGCCAAATCAGTCTAGCCGTTCTCAAGTTATGGCGTGACAACGGGAAACGAGTTTAATTTTTATATATATACCTCGTAGATTTTCGCTACAATCAATAAAATATTAAAATAAAAATATTTAATACCTGTTTTTAAAGAAATTGCCCGTAAACTAATCGACTCTATTCGTAACTAGCAGCTGTAGCTTAATACCACTTAGCGCTTGTCTACATGTAGAATAGAAAACCAAATTATATGGGATTGACGTAAATTTTGACACTTGACAGTGTCATCCCCATACATTTCGATTTCTACTCTCTCTGTAGACAAGCGCTAAAGTGGCGTTTGGTTAAAGTCCTAGAACTGCTGGCTATTTCGTTTTTGGTCAGAATACAGATTGGCATTCGACGTTGCAATGCTGCCTGTCTTCAGGAAACTTTGCCCAGTGACAGTGATGTGTACGATTTCCTTGACGCCTAATTGTGGCTATTTTTTTAGTTTCTTTTCTTCCTTTGTTTTTCACTGTTTTAGTTTTTTTTTTAATATTATAGATTATTTCTCCACGAACTCTAGGTCCGTGCCCTTGTCATACAGTTTTTTAATTATAATACATCTAGTCACTTTTTATAAAGTAAAGAGGGAACCTAGTTACACACTACAATTAACTGTTTTAGTTTTAGATGTACGTATTTATTGATTTTCTTTGCTTGTTCTTTAAACTGTCAAACACCAAGCGGTCACCGGTGACCGCAACCTATTGTTCTATAATTGTGTCTATAATGACGGTACTCGACGGTAAACAGCCCAGTGACAGTCATCCGTTAGACTATGGGTTTCCTCTCTACATAAGGTTGTCACCATCGCCAAGCTTGGTAGGCGTGTTGTTAAAAAGTTCACGTTTATCCGAGAGCGTTGCGGCCTGGTTTCTAGCAAACGTGTAGTACCTTAGCCGGGTATATCACACCCACGGGAAGAGTAGGGATTGTGACTAATGTATTATATCCTGCCATCACTACACCTCTTGACATAATATATAAAGCTACGTAACTAAACAATTTACTGTAAATTTTTAATTACTAATCAAAAAGCAATATTTTTACCGCGTAATAAACTGTAAAGTAATAGCGTCTGGGAGTAAAATTTAGTTTAATGGCGGCCGTAAACGTTGCACGTAATGATACAACAACAATTTATTAATAACATTACAATTTTGTAATTAGATTGAGTCGTAAAATTAGTAATAACTATATGGTTGATTTGATACAACTTTTAATTAAAATATTAGGTCTTATTATTATTTCATTGAAATATTAAAATGCCGTTCTGCAGTGCTGGCCATTTCAGATCATTTTTTTTTTGTTTGGGTAAGAATTCTAATTTCAAATGTATATATTTTTAAACATGGAATTTGTTTTCCAAAAAGCAGCCATTTGTTTATTGATTTGTGTTACATTTTCATTGCATTTGAATCTTTTTCGTCATCATGAATACGTTAAAACTTCAAGTAAATATAATATGAGTTATCTAATACCAATCTATATTAGAGTTTGTCTGTTTGTTTAAACGCATTAATTTGAGGACAACTGATTCGAATTGAATAATTATTTTTGTGTTGGATAGTTCATTTATTAAGGGAACCTAGCTTGGCTTGACTAAAGTAAAAGGATTCTCGATTAGTTTCGAGCTATATCGGGGCTGAAGGTTATGAACCGAATGCGTATATAACACAAATACATAAATGATTGTTCCGCGATACATAACATAAAGTTATTCGATTTTTTTAAATTTACTAATTGGCTGATGATAGTTCAGACACAGTTATCTAGTTTACTTAAATATTACAAAACAATATAGAAAAGAAACAATAGAGAGTATATTTCTATTGAAAAGGATATTCAACCATGGCTTGTACTCCGTTTTTCTTGAACACTACGATTCTCTGTACTTGACCGTGTGGTGTGCTGATTGTGTGAATGACGTCCTGCAACAAACAAACAGAAAGAATATTAATATTGAAATTTACATCATCATCATCATCATCAACAGGCTGTGGACTGTCCACTGCTGGTTGAAGGGCTTCAACTATTAAAGAGCGGTTTGCTATCACGCTTGTCAAGCGAGTTGGAGATCATAAAAGGATCAGGTTTATTAGAGCATGTTCTTTTTTTAAGGGGAGAAATGAACCAATGACTTCTCCCACCCTGGGGTAAGGCCAGAGGAATTGTCAGAGTCTTACTGACTAAAAACCACCCCGTTCCTACTCCTGTACTTCAAACCTCAGACCCGGCAAGCCGTTTAGTCCTCCGCGGCTCCGTATCGACATCAGCCCTATTGGTCCCATCCGTGGTGGTTTAATGGCTCTTTGAGGCGCGCACGACTCTAGGCAGGGTGGAAGATCGTAGTTTCAGAGATTAGATGACGCTGCTGCCGCGATTCTGTTACCTATGTATGTCACTTAAAACAAACCAATAATCGATTTCAATCCAAGATCAGTGAATCAAGATCGACTTTTGTAATTGATGAAGTGATACACTACATACTCAAAACAGAGGCCGAGCTAACGATTCTTGATTAAAATTGGATATTAAACCCGCGGGAATACTAATGGTGAGTGACATACATATAAGTTGGTATTCTACTCTACTACATGGCAAACTCTAAGGGCTATATTTCACTGGGACACCATGGCGGCGCAACAAGTCGCGTCACTGTGGAGGGCGAATTAGCGGCTGAGTAACACACCAAACAGCGCTGTAGTAATTAGTGGTGTCGCGACCAGGTGATGTGCCACCAGAAACATTTTGTGCTGGCGTCTGACCTGGTCGCGACACAAGATTGGTTGCGTACGGACACCAGGTGTGTAACACCCTATAGAGCTGTATACGTTATGTTGGTAGCGGGTGGTTGCGCCGCCATAGTGCCCAGGTGATAATCTCCAGCACGTACGTGGCACTTAAAAATCAAACTACCAATTAGAACAAGTCAGGTAACCTATATATTATATTAAAAGCACTAAAACAAGGTTATAGGGTTTATCATTAGCCATTAGCCATTAGCCATTAGGCACTAGATCATAAATCCCCGTCTATAAAGAGTAACAGAATAATTAATTTATTTGATTTAATACCCGAAGGTGCAAGATTAATGTAACGATGCAATGATTTGAATACACATCTTTCATTATCACAATAATGTTAAATGTCAATCGTTTGGCATTCTGGTGATTATTTCTTCGTGTTTATTAATAACTATCGCGAGACATACTAAATTAACTAAAAATCGCGGGTTACTCACGTGAATATACTGAAAAAAGCTCTACTAGTTTCGAACCACAGAGGGGTTCTTCCTCATGAGTAGGGTGCGCGGTCGCGGCAATGTCGCGCAGCCTACTGACGCGACATTGCCGCGACCTTCTGTGGTTCGCTTTAGCTTTTCTCAGTATATTCAGTATAAATTATTTCTTCATGGTGCAAATTGATACTGGTGTGCATAGGAACTTATAGATATCCAAAAAAGGTAAAGATTTAAGGTGTTGTATTTTTCATTTTTTTTTACGAAATATACACTTAGGAGTAAATAAACGGACCCATACGAGGTATCTGAATTTATTATCTCAATTTGTTTGGAATCAGTACAATAATAACATCCTTTTTTCATTCCCTCCTATCAGACGTCATGCTATCACAAACTCCTTTTGCTTATTTATCATTCCTCATTCAATCTATCCATGTTTACCCCTCCATCTTTCCACATTAACGACAACAAACAAACAAACTATCAAGCAAAACCAATATAAAATCGATCACCACTTTACAATGCACGCCAGTGTAGTGGGTACGCAATATCAACCCACTTGTTGGAATTGAAATCGTGGTACACTGGCTGGCGTAATAACATTTTGCATTTGAGATTAGACGACGGTAGTTTTAATAAAAAAAATATCCGTGGAACGGCTTCGAGTGCGTCCTTTTCTTGGTGATATTGCGGGGTTCCTGTTTTTTCTTGTTTTTTCGTAAAACAAATGTTGGTTCGTTCATTGTGAGTATGGAGGTTGTTTATTTGTTATGGGATAAGTTAATAGAGTTGTGTGGTTAAAATTATATTATGGAGTGTTGATTGATGGACATTTGTGATACATTTTGGACCAATTACAACAGCACAAGAACATCTATTGAAAAGTTGTACTTAATGTTTCCATCTTTATTCAATGTATGTCAATAATTTTGGCTCGCATTGTACCGCTATCACTGCCATTTTGCATTCCTAAATTCAGTTTATTTACGAAAAAAAAAACAGCATGTATAAAATAAATACATCCTCAATTTTCCACTAGATGTAAATACATACAAACTTATGAAATAAATAAAAAAAAATCATTTACATACAAATATAAAACAACAAAAATAGCAATACTTTAAATCCCAACAATAACATTTTGACTTGAAAAATACAGATTCGCTGAAATTGAATTACAAAGCTGAAAGTTTCAGGACTGACCGAGACAATTTTATTTGCATGCAAGGCAGGATTGCTTGAGTCCATGAAATTGGCAGAATACAGCTGAAAAATTCAGTTATCTGGGAGAATATGTACTGGATATATTTCTTGTAAACCTACTTCGTTTAAAGATCTTAAAATCTGACTAGTTGGGGAATTACATTTATCATGACTGTTCAACCATTTTTAATATCTATTATTTGTGTCTTTTTCTGAGTTATATGTACTTTCTAAGATTATTTAGACACCACTGACAAACGGTGAAGGAAAAACATCGTGCGGAAACCTAGGCTTATTGTTTCTAATTATAAGTTTGAAATCGCAAACCCGCATTGAGCAAGCATGGTGATTAATGCTCTAACCTTCTCTATGTGAAAAGAGGCTTTGCTCAACAGTGGGCATTTATAGGCTGTTGTTGATGATGATGATTTTGTTCTTTCTCGTTCAATTCCTAGCAGGCAAAGATGCATATTATAAAGATTTTTCTATATTAAATGTAACATATAATTTTCGTCACTTATAATGTAGCCAATGGAACAATAGGTACCATTTGACCTCTTGACAAATAAATTAAAGGACCCAAAGGTAAATGAAATTCTACCAATCAACCCACTTTCTCGCTAAACACACTTACTATCACTACATAGTATAAAACAAAGTCGCTATCCGCCGTCTGTCTGTCCCTATGTATGCTTAGATCTTTAAAACTACGCATCGGATTTTGATGCGGTTTTTTTTAATAAATAGAGTGATTCTTAATACCATGTGTGTGATTCTTAATGCCATGGGGGTCACAGCTGACCGATGTTAACGGAGGATTTGCCTTCAACAGTTTTTTATTGGCAGTCAAAGCCTAAAGGAAGGTGAATATGTATAATACATGCATATTGCACCCGTGCGAAGCGGGGTCGCTAGTTCAGTATGATCAGGAACCCAATACGTTTTCAAAACAAGAAAATTATCAGTCGAAAATTACAAATAATAAAAAGACATGTAGGTACCAAAGCTGGTTGTAATAATTAATTTTGCCCAAAAACCCGGGGGCTGTAATAATTAAACTCCCTCTGGTCGAGGCCCGTATTTTTTACCCACCACTCGTTAAGTCGTTAATTTTTAATTCGCTATTTTTACACAGAAATATTTATGGGAATTCCAATGGTAAGGTGAATGTAATAAGGAAGGGAATTGTTCCAAGTTCTTTGGCTTTTTTAGGCTTGATAGGTACTACGTGGTCTGATTTCCATTTAATTTAATGAGATTAGAATAAATCGAGGGGTAACAGGCTATTTGGTTTAAGCGACATTTTGGGCGATATTGAGTTATTATATATATTCGACGGAGAAAAATTCGCTGATTCCGAAAATATATATAACTCAATATCGCCCAAAATGTCGCTTAAACCAAATAGTCCGTTACCCCTCGAAATGATCTTCTGGATGTATACCTATGGTCCTTATTTCAGGGAAGTAAATTAGTTATATTATATAGGACCGATTTTACCAACGCTTTAATTTTTAACTGACGAATAACTTTGAATATTTGACAATTCTTCCATACTAAAAACTGTCAAATGTCAATTTGGATCTTTTTCTCCGACTAGATCTAGATTCTGCTCAAAAAAACCGAATATTTGAGATAATTATATCAATTGAAAGGAATTTTGTGATCTGATAAAGTTTGAAGAATATAAAAATAAATCATTGTGCTGACTTAACTAAAAATTGCTATTGTTACTCAAGTGAATATACTGAGAAAAGCTCAAGTAGTTTAAGTAGGCTGCGGGACATCGCCGCGACAACCCACACTACTCATGAGGAAGAACCCCTCTGTGGTTCGAAACTAGTACAGCTTTTCTCAGAATATTCACGTTAGTAACCCGCAATCTTTAGTTAACTTGTATATATCACGCTAGTTATTGTGGTGACTGATGACATCAAGAACCTTAGGATAAGGACTGGAAGTCTAGTAAATCCAGTCGTACTGTGCGTGGTTCGGAAACCTGATACCTTGAACTCAACAATCACACTACTAACCAAATGGTGGTTAAATTACCACCAACGGTTAACACTTACAGTTATAGTACAAAGTAACCAACAAACACTAAACAATTACTACTAAAGTTAAATTTAACTAAACTTTAAACTAACCACAAGGCAGTCACAGTCAGTTTCAAGCCATGCTAGAGCATGCATGGTACGTGAGGAAGCCGAAAACATAATAATTAATTTGTATGTCTCAAGAAAGTTATAATATAGATCAAAGTCTTTAATCAACCAAGTCGACACAATTAAAAAGCAGTCGTTATTTTCTACATAACATAAC